GAATTATATACAACTATTTACAATACAAGAATTAAGTTCCAAACGGTGTGACCCATATTTCTAAAGCATGCATATACAGTATATTAGAAGATGTTAGCATGAATCTTTCAGGCAGTTTTTAAAAGAATAAATTGATTGCGCTAGCTTCGCATGATTGCGCTAGCTTCATTGACAAGATATCAGTGCTGTACGCAGGATTTGTTTTCACCCTTGGGGGAGGGGGAGGGGCAGTAATACCTACACTAAAATGATTAAGTACCCAAATGCATGTCATTCAAAGGCATATATAATCTGATTCACAAGATTATAAGCGTCATTTGGCTTTGTAGTAAACTTTGGAATCGTAATGTCTAATGAGTTATTTATTTCAGCATATATGTTGAAAAGTTGGGTCGTGAGTGTAAACCATGTAGGGATTTCATATATCACTATATAGAATAAATTATAGTGGAAGTGAAAGTGAGGTGTTTATTTAATTAAATTCGTGAAAAAATCAAACTTCAAACTTTAATTAAAGAGTATAGATTATATTATAACAGTTAGTAATTAATTTATTTACAGAGAGTTGACCCAGACCATTGCATTGGACCAAAGGTCCACCCTGTAGCCAAGCCGATCTGACCCTATATAGCTATTACACTGTTGATCATGCAGATAAAATAAATTAAATTATACACATGTAGGAAATATTTCCCCAGCCTGCAGGGTGAATAGATTCCTATACGTATTTGATCTGATTATTAAAGATGCAGTAAAGTCCATTCTGCGCATCAGTTCTGCTCATAACAAAGGGGACCCACAGATATAAACATTGCCAAAATTTTGCATCTTTCGAACTTTTTTGAATTGAAACATATCGTAATTTATATTCATAATTCATTTGTATTCATGAATCCAATGTCTTCACTCTATACAAATCGTGTGCAAGTATACACTTATATACACTTACATATTTTCTACTTTAGGTTGTTATGTGCAGGATTTTACTGCGACAATATTTATTACATTATATGTACACATATAATAAATATAATTGCGAAACTATGGACAAATTCGTCTTTAGTTAATCTATACTATTTGAGGCTATGGCTGCACGCATGCGCAAAATATATATTTTATAACTAACAATAGTTATTACACCATGTTGCGATAGACAAATATTTTCCCCTTGTTGCATAAATGTTAATTTTTACCACTGCTATTTGAGTTTACGACTGAACGAATTATAATAACACTAACAATGGTTATTACACCTAATATGATTGCAGCAATTGACAAATACTTTGCCCATTTTGAAAAATTCTTTGCTCCTTCTAAATCACCCTCACGTCTGCTCGAACCAACCTTGATAACAGAAAAATCGTTTTAAATTGTGGAGGAGATACGAAAATTGTACTTCGCATGCATGTATTATTCAACAACAAAAAAATTGTTTGATAACATTTTTGAACATATATAGCTAATTCAAAAAAAGTTGTCGTTTGAAAAACCTAGTCAAACTCTAAACCTTAAACCTTAAGCTCTAAGCGCGCAAAGCATAATGGGAGCAACATTTAATCAGTTTAGAAATCATATATGGGACCCATTTCTAATAGAGACACGGTAAATATCTCCTTACGAGAACAATAGCTGCAATATTCAACTACTATAAGCTTGAAACTTGTAGTCGGTTTTCAAAGTACAACCTTTTTTGAATTGGCTGTATAAACATCTACTTATTGTTATATATATATAGACCATTATGTCCTTGATCAGAATTGATGATCACTTTGCCTTTCTTTTCGTCAGATATTTAACGATGGATATGCAAATTTTCCTCACTATGACAACAAATTGCTTACAATGGCTTTCTGAAAGAAACTTTTATATGTCTCATGGATAATTGATTCAAATTTGTCAACATTTGACATATATTTGTAGTATGTTGACATGATAGCACATACATATACCGTATTTACTCGTTTGAGCGCCGCGGCGCTCTTTAAATTTTCAGAGCTTCAGATGCGGCGCTCATTCGGGGGCGGCGGTCAATCGGGGGCGGCGCTCTTTAAAAAACTTTTATTTGTGAATTATAAGAAGAACTTTTAACAATAAAATAAACAAGTTTTAAATGTCTTTGTCACTAAATGTCCCCATTTTGACGGTGGAATGTTTTTTCACCGTTTAGTGCGGCGCTCATTCGGGGGCGGCGCTCTTTAAAAAAATTTGATCTCAAATGCGGCGCTCATTCGGGGCGGCGCTCAATCGGGGGCGGCGCTCAATCGGGGGCGGCGCTCAATCGGGGGCGGCGCTCAATCGGGGGCGGCGCTCAATCGGGGGCGGCGCTCAATCGGGGGCGGCGCTCAAACGAGTAAATACGGTATGCACAGTTTTATCTTTTCGATGCACGATATCCAATATGATCTTGAAGTTTTTTCAGAAAGTCATTATACAATGTGACGTCATATATAGTGTCGCAATTAACCTTACCATGCATGACAGCACAATTGCGACAATTCCAACAGGCCAAAAGCAACAGAGACAGGAGAAAATTGATAGACCCATATAGTCGTTGACATAATTTCCAGCTATTGCGTGTGAGGGCTGCAAAGCAACATAAATTTAAATTATTTTGTGAAGAAAACATTTCGTGCATGGTTACGGTTAGTATTCGCCAATTTGGAGAAACGCAAAAAGCTTTTGATTGATGGTTTTTAAGGCGCATTTCAGCCCTTTTAATTGAAAAAACTAACTGCAATATTCTGCAAATAAACCACCACCAGGGACGTCCCTACGTCCCTACAGGGGTTGGGGGGGGGAGGGGGGTGTAACACCTCCCAATAATTCAAAACGGTCAAAGTTGGTCAAAATGGAACTAATATTTGCTTATAATTGAAGGTCAAAGTTAGTAAAATTTGTTCAAAGTTTGAGATAAAAGATGGTCAAAGTTATGAAATCGTTCGCAATTTTAACTCATTTTCTTTGGTCATGTTTAATTTGCGCGGAAACAATTGCCAGCCTTGCTTATTTTGGTCGAAAAATATTTGAAGCTTTGCTTGTGTTAGTCCCATCGACAACATTTTCGGGAAACATTTCTACTACTTGGTCAAAATTCTAGGAAAAGTTTGTCAAAACATGAAGACACCCCCCAATGTTAATGTCTTCACAACGTCCCTGACCACCACAGCTAGAAAGAGCGTACTAAAATGAATAAAATGGCAATGTTTAACTGCGAAATGTTGTGAAATGCGGAAAATATATCCTTGCAAAGTTTGCAAATTTTGTATACTTTTGTATTCCGTGCTAGTTGCGGAAATTGCTACCACAATTGGGCCAAAAATGGTACTTTATTTGAAAATGGTACTAAATTTACTCATTTTAGTATGCTCTTTCTAGCTGTGGTGATTTATTTGCATCTCCTTGCCTAGTTTTAAAATTAGTCTATAATGGGAATTGTCTATTGTACTTACTACGACAACAACTGTGTGGCCACTCGGCTGCTGGACATGCGCGTTGTTGTACGGTATCACGTGCGGTTGTATAATTCCTCCCGCTGGTTGGTGTACATTCGCCACGTAATTCGGTGGTGCCGAAGGCATATGGCCGCCCTGCACTTGCCAAGATTTGTCTTGCATCGGGTAAGATCCACCGTCCATGTTATGTATATGAATATTCTAATTTGTTTCTATATAGAAAGTGGGAAAAAATGAAAATGATGAAATCACACTATTAATGGGCTCTCTTGGAGGCGTAACAGGGCAGCAGATGCACTGTCAACAATTCAGAAGTGCTGATACTTTTAGGAAAAACTGAGGTAAGTTTGGGGTATAACTCTGCATGTCACTGTTATATTGACATAGAAACTAAGACTGTTGTAGTATGATGACATTGAGTAACATCGCGCTCAAATGTGACTGGTATATAGGACCTATATACTGTCTTATGCTGTGGTTTTATTCAATTACAGTTATTTCACAAGAAACTCTAATTGGATTTAAACTTTTCCGTGCGTGTACATACGCACGTTTGAAGAACGGCGTAACTGGAAAGCAGCCTTAAGTTAAGTCTTAGTTCTGAAAACTTTTCCAAATCCAGTCCCTGAACCCTGCCGAGATTTAAATTGACAGGAGAACTGATAATGTAGATCCGATAATCTCTTCAGCAATAAATTATATTTGATTAAGTTGCAATATATACTTTACTATTTTACGTACTGCATCGATGTCTTTGTTTAATGCCAGACGATTGTATACTCGTCAAGAGGCTAGTAGGGCGCGCCAGCTAGCTCAATGCATGGGTTAATCAAAGTATTTAAGTATCTGCCCATTGCACGGTTTGCATCCAGACGATTTTACTCGTTAAGGGGTAAATTCAATGATAATATCAATATATAATACATTTTATTAATGAACTTTAATTTGGCGAAATCAAATCGAACTACTAAAAAAACTAAAAATCTGAATTGACACTTACCGTACAAAATGAAGAGAGAAAAAAACAAGTTCTAATTCACAACACGATAGTGTTATAGCTTTTCCAAAGCCGAGTTTTCTTCAATAACGTAGGGAACAACTCCTCGGGTTTCTAAAGACGATGAAATCTGTTTATAGTTATCCTTAGATGACTCCAATGCGTCTTGCAAGAAAACTGATTATAATGAATGCACACTTTCTTCAGGAGTTTATATATAACTTAGCTTTGTGCCCACGCTCCAACGTGCTGAGTGACACTAACACAATTAAACTGTTGGCAACCATACATTGTGCGTACGTGTTGGCAACTATTGCGAGCTTCAGAGGATGACAGCTAATTACAGCGCTGAAGCATAATGATGTAAGAGATGCGTCATCTTAAGTGCGCCGACAGCGTGCCGAAGTACACTCGCTGTCGTCTCGGACATAAGTTTAATTTCTTTTTATTATCCTATCTCAGTCTGTATGTTTACAACGATTTTTCACAATTTTTGCCTTTGTAACTTAATGCATGTATAATTATCGTTTTAATTAAACTATTTTTGTCGCGTCCCCGCGTACTAGATTAGAAACATTCAAATAATGCCTAAAATTGCTACTATTGCAAAAATGTTACTTAGTCTAACGTCACAGACCGTGATTCGAGGAATTGGGTTGAAGTGCATGACATATTATTATACTTTATTATATAAAGTATAGTGCTTTATAGAGATTTCGAGCACTGATAAAAGTGATAATCTCACATGTGAGTAAACCAAAAATTTTTAGAACCACTGAGTATTTTAATAAAATACAAAACAAGTGAAACTCTAAAAATCGATAACATTTTTATCTATCTACGTTTCGACTATATTTCAGTCATCATCAGGATAAACTCAGTGCAAAACAAATCAGGATAAACTAACTGAAATATAGTCGAAACGTAGATAAATAAAAATGTTATCGATTTTTGGAGTTTCACTTGTTTTGTATATCACATGTGAGATTATTCATGATAATCTCACATGTGAAAATTATTGCTTTTCAATTATCGCGTTTCTGTAAAAATTATCGCTTGTCGAAGACTGTCTTTATATAATAAACAGAAAAATACATGAGTGCTTGGAAATACCAGATTTATTTCTCGTGCGCTCACTCGTGAGATATCATGTTCAACACTCGAAATAAATCTCAGGTATTTCCGCGCACCCATGTATTATTCTCTATTTAAATATTTGATGTATCAATATGATTCGTTGCATGGCGTTGCATTCGTTGCATCATAAAAATTTCAAAGATTACAGTCATCCCATTTGTTAAACATATGAGAAATACTCATTAATTAATAAATCATGTCAGCCATAATATGTCACGTGGAGGGACTTTATATCTGATAAAGCATGTGGCATTATATAATTGTTCATCCTAATTAGTATGATTATATAATTGTTCATCCTAATTAGTATTCTTTTATAGTCGTATTTTAAGCTATTCAAAACACTGGAACTGGCGTTTTATCATATCTAAAACGCTGCGCCTCGCGTTTTAAATATGATACTCCTTCTCGTGTTTTAAATAGTTAAAAAGAACATACACTTAAAATTGTACTTAATATCAAGTCCAGACTTTGTATTTGACTGTAAATAAGTCTAATAATTATCTTTGAAACGTTCAGTTTGGATTGTATGTACGAAAAAGCGACGACAGTCTTTAAATTCGTTAGTAAGTGTTTGAGTTGCAGCACGATTTTAAATAGAAAAGGCGCAATTAGGGACTATATATAATTACCGGGTGAAAATAGCGCTTATAATCGCAATTTTTAAACAGCTGACTGCATGTCCCCAAAGGTCTTTGAAAAGTCTGAAAATAGGCAGAAGAAAGTTATATGCTGGGTTATATGCCGAGCTTTGAATTTTTTTGTTTTGCAGACGACGAAGCCTGGTAAATGAGATATTGAATATATATTATTTGAGTCATTTCCATTACGGGTTCGGCAATTTGCACACGTGGACAAATGGATGTACATGTCTTCCTGGAAGATAGATGGCTATTTCGTGGAATTTTCACTAGTTCAGATTTCCTGCATGACCATGCAAAACTGAAGCTTTGAGTTCAACTGATGTATTTTCACTCATTTAAATAGAAGGTCACACAGAGTGATCGATTAAGGGCAGTAAAATTCCGCGTATTCACTGACCGGAAATTGCATAGAAAATGGCCATGTCACGCGAACAGTCATTACAGACGCCTAATCGCAAACCGCTTTATTTCTTGGCAACCTTCTCTATTGAAAGATTCAAATTATAAGTTCGAAAAAAGTTTTTAATTCTGCTTGAGTCCACGTAATATTGCATAAGTTACGTAATATAATATATATAGGCATGTACCCAGGACCCGCATGGTTAGTTAAGATGAGATGATCCATCTGCCTTAAGGCCGGCGCACACTAGAGCTATGTGCTTAGCAAAATGTCATTCGTGACTGTTGGCGTAAGGAGATAGCTCTCGTGTGCGGGCGATTTACGAACGACTTTTGTCATTCGTGCCACTTACGCCAAATATCTAACATGTTTGATAATTTCTGCCTCGCGTGCCAAAATCTTTCCGTGTGCGGCGAACGAAAGCTATCTGCTTACGGATTGTCGTAACAGCGCATGCGTAGTATACGAAAGTAAACATCCAAGATGGCGGCGCAAAATGAATTGCTGGCCGAGACAATTTTAGCGGACAAACTTGTCGAACTTTTGCCTGAATACAAATGTTTATACGATGTGAGTTCTGCAGATTTTAGAAATAGGGACAAAAGGGAATGTGCGGTGAAAGAAATAGCCAGTAAGTTTGTCCTCTAAAATTGCCTCGGCCAGCAATTCATTTTGCGCCGCCATCTTGGATGTTTACTTTCGTATACTACACATGCGCTGTTACGACAATCCGTAAGCAGATAGCTTTCGTTCGCCGCACACGGAAAGATTTTGGCACGCGAGGCAGAAATTATCAAACATGTTAGATATTTGGCGTAAGTGGCACGAATGACAAAAATCGTTCGTAAATCGCCCGCACACGAGAGCTATCTCCTTACGCCAACAGTCACGAATGACATTTTGCTAAGCACATAGCTCTAGTGTGCGCCGGCCTTTACATGCATGTAAGCGCTTCAGCTCAATTGTCGCTAAAACACGAGCGTGCAGTACCACGCGTGGGCAGAAAACACATTTCAGCGTAAACACTAGAAAGTTCTACATTTAAACAGTCAGTAAAAATTAAGCTTGGACAATTAAATTGCAACCAAGTTGTATAAGCCGCCTATAAGGGCAATTAGAATCTGACAACATACTTAATTTATAAACAGGGCTAAGTACGCCATATAAAGCATCCATGCACAAATTCTCTTTATAGTACTCAGTGACGATATATCAAATTCAATGGCTTTGAAATGGCCAAATTATCAGTGAGTGTAAGCACTAGTATATTGATTTGAATGCAATTTAAACACTTAATTAACTATAGTACTGCATGTATATTGTTTTTAATTAGTAGCTGTATAATATACATAGCATTGACATTGTAACAACCGAGATCACAACCTCGTTCCCTGATAAAGCTATTCATTGGATGGAAAACCTTTGTTGAAAAGGCAAAGTCAAAGACCCTTTGTCAAGAGAGTTCCCGTTAATACTAACCCTACTGGAAGTGCCGGCTTTGCTCGAACTCGAAACATCTATCGATACTTTTTCCATGTCAGATTACACTTGAAATTCAACAGTGATTTTATATTAATTCACATCACGATCAGAATTTGCGGCACAAATACTGGAGAGCTAAAATGAGCTGGCTCATCTTAATTGAACATGCGTAGAATGTATATGCTGACGTGTACACGGAATCAGTTTGATGAGGAATCGAAAACTGCTAAATTATTTCCCGGCTGGTTGAATTATTTCAAGATCTGCTCAATATTTCCCAGGTTGAATTCCTTCAAGATATAGTCGGCAAAGTAATAATGCTTTTGTCTTAATATAACAATTAGAACAACTTTTCCGTGCATACACGCACGTGCTGCCCTTCGCCTCGCCCGCTTTTTAGGTGTTCCGCGGCGGGCTGACCCTCTACCATGCAGGCTACCACGGAGCTTATATAATTATCCTTATTAAAATTTATTTAAAGAAGATTAAGCATTTACAGAATACGCCAGTTTAGCTATAGCTTATCTTCCACTGGACCTTCTAAAATTAACTAAATATCTATATATGTACATCAATATACAATGCGATTTACATTTAGTGTATAGATCATGATGACCTAATTTTATACAATGAAATATTTGACCGTATAGTAAAACCTAAATCTACCTAATATTAATCAGTATCTTGGAATAACTACTTATAATTAAACATTTATATCATAAGAGTTATTTTTAAATATATATGTAAAAACAATTTGTGTGCTTTATACTTGAATTTACTGCAAATGAGCTGGAGGATTTAATATCCGGTGGCAACATATCAAAAAAAGGACGCTTGAACATGTTTTGTGGTTGATTATAACCACATAAGAAAATTTGGTGAATGTAAAAGACGGAGTGGCCGTGCCGAGTGACAAATGCAAGTGTCCAGATATTTCCCAACCCATTACGCAGACATTCCGCATGCATGTCGTTCCGCACGGCCCTAATGGTCTTTCCGCCTTTTATACGTGTTGATCAAGATCAATGATGTTGATGCAACAAAATCTCATTTTATGATTGCATTGACTGCATTGCATAGAGAATTCAAAGTGGCCAAATAAGATATTTGCTAAACTCTCTAGCTTAGCCTCGTTCTTGAGATATTTAAAACATTTGATATGCAAATTATCCTGTGACGTCACATTGCATAATGACTAATTTTGAAAAAAAAACTTGAAGATCTTGGGATGTCGTGCAACGAAATCATAAAACCATGCATATAAACAAGGAGGACGAATTAATGCATTTGTTGACATTTTCGCGCTAAGCCAATTAGAATTAAAGCGCGTAAGTTCGAATGCCTATAATCAGTATAGAACTAGGCAATAAAGCGCAAATCCCAGCGGCAAATTTTAGAAAATTTCTTATTTTACCTTGTCACGTTGAATCCAATCAAAAATAAAAAATCCTGACCCCCTCGAGTTTTATTTAAGACCCTATATTTTCTGTTCAAATGTATGTTTTTACCGGAAGTGGGCTTTCTGTGCTCGCAGGGAAACTACCTACAATAACCAATTATAACTGATTGGCTTAGAGCGAAATTGTCAACAAATGCGTTGAATGGTCGAGAACGAATTTCCCTTGTTATGCATATATGTCATGTCAATATTTATGCTACCAATATATGTTGTATGTCGACAAATTTGAATCAATTATATATTTTTGTAACCGGATGCATAGTGAGAATAATTTGAGTATCATAGTAAATATTTCAACAAAGAAACAAAGTATATTACACGGTATAGGATATTCTGCGCATTTGATTTATTCCGGCATGAACACCATATGATATACTGTTATTGGTGAACCGACAAAACATGTATCAAGAACACATATGAAAGAGTGAAAGGAAAAAACTCTTGGGAAACAATTAATGAACACTTTTGGAAACAATGGCTTGAAATACTGCAAGTAAATTCTCTCATTCTGGTAACTGCGGTATTGAAGTGAAATTTTAAATCAAATCAAACTAGTCAGTCTAAACTACTATTTAATAGAAAGCTAACTGATCATATACAGATATAGTATATATTAAAGTCACATGCAGAGATTATGTACTTTCAGTCATTGAGACACAGTTTATGTAAACTACGACCATGCACATTCTGAATTTTCAGTACACTCGAACAACTATTTGAAAGTTAAAATGGACAAAATTGAGTTTCCAACAAGATTTATTCAGTTAAATATCACATCTTTGTACAAATGATAAAAAAAGAGAAAGCGGTTTTATTGTAAAGCATACTAGCATATTGATATTATTAACAAGTATATATATATATAACGTGGTTTCTTGTGAACTTCGGATGAAACGCGCACTCTTAGGCCTGTTTTATACGTCGAATTTTGATCAGTCGTGTCGAATGCAATTAAGACAATAAATAATGAGATGATAAACAGTCATTAAGCTTCATTATCTATTGTTTGAATTGCATTCGACGCGACCGAAATTCGACGTATAAAACAGGCCTCGATCTGTTTCCAACTATTGCACTCAAAATAATCCTATTGCCTATATCACTCAGCTACAATTTAACTAAAGTTCTTGTTTATTTGCATGGTGAAATAACTATAATTGTTTTATTTTATGGTCACGTGTATCTTTTTCAGAAAACTATGCATCCGTATGCCTGGGTCATCATCAGCGCCAATAATAGTGCGAAAATTAGAAATTAATTGCTCTGATGACAATCCGGGTTTACGGATCGATGATGGCTAAAAGGACGTTGCCCCCCGCCCCTCCCTTTTCTTCTTCTCCGCTATTGTCAGCCGGAGGCCAAAAGTCCAATGATGGCAATCACAAATATGGTAGTACCAATTGTGATCGAAGCCACACCCAAATGTTTTGCCCATTTTGAGTACGTCTTTGCTTGCTGGTAATCACCACTCTCCATGCTAGATTCCGCCTACATGTGTCACAAAGTAAAAAATAAGGTCCTTAGTTTTACTGAATCATGCCACGCAAGGTTCCCAAAAGAGGAAGTCCATTATCTCGTCCATTATATCGCGGCGAGCTTTTTGATAGCTAGGACTACACGAGCGAAGGCCCTTCGTTTGGCCTTTAATAAATTCGAAAAACCCTTCAAAGAGAAAGCCGGTTTTCCTTGCATTTTTCAAGTAGTTATATCCATATTAATCCGAAGCTTCCTTGTTATTGCCACTACCTAATAGTTAAGATAGTTGTAAGTATAACACGCCCCATCTGAAAATCAACTCAATACTCATTGTATTTTTACAAATATGTTGTGTATGGCCAGCGTGGTTAAACCATTTTTTAAGTAAGTAAGTAAGTACCTACATTGGCACAGACGTTCAAGATTACATATATAGCTTTTTTTGGCTTGAAATGATTGAAAAGAACTTCATGGTCTTGTCCAGTTTTCACACTAGCAATTGCATTTTATCCGATTTCTTCAGGCAAAATCAGGGCAAAATTAATCCCAAAAATAGAAAAATCAACATTTCAGAGTAAAAAATCGACGGCAAAATTTGGATTCTTACCAAACAAGACATCACGATCGCCACGATTCCAGTCGGTGCGAAACAACACAGGCAAGATATAATAGATAGAGTCAAACAAGGGTCAACATAATTTGCATCTCCAGCTGTAGGTTGCTGTATATGGCGAAATAACGTAATATAAGATTTGAACATGATTCATGTAAGAGTACTGATTACTGTACAGTACAATAATATACAATACATAACAGTATACATTAAAGTACAGCATAGCACATGACGTTTAATTTAATTTAATTTAATTATTAGCGAACTTAAGATGAGCTAAATCTAGTGACAAAAAGACAGTTACTTATGCTTTTCTTTTGGATTTGTTACCAGTTTAAATTTGTTTTTCACCTGTATCCTTCTTTGTTGACAAAAGGGAATCCATATTTTTTACTCGTGTTGTTGACACTGCGAATTTAGTTCTATATTAATTTCGCAAGGCCAAAGTTCGTGTGAATAACTTAAAACTTGTTTCATTTGATATAAATTTCAATTCATAAAACTCCTGTTCCGATTTTTCATATATCTCGCTTTGTTCTTGAAATATTTTGACTGTATGCAAACAATGAGCGTTCGCCATCTTGGATTATAGTGACGGTGCTTTTGGAGACATCAAAAGCAGGATTAGCCGCATATAAAACTACTTCCAGTCAAAATATTTCGAGAACTAAGCAACATTCGAAGAACCTGTGAAAAGATTTTTCCCATAGTTTAAAAGTTCTTTCAAATGAGACAAACTAAATTTTTATTGCCCTATTCCTTTCCAGTATTCTCTATGTCATGTTCAGATTTCGCCTTTCGACAATCGACACTTTACGAAAATATACAAAAGACTACAACATATTTGAATGACTAAAAAAAAAATTAAAATCACTAAATGTGACGTTAAAAATAAGTAGTTTCGTCTTTCGACCTCATCACGAGGACACTATATATCTATATATATACAGTATAGTATTTTAATTGTTCTATATACGTCGCATGCAGTTGATAAATAGAGAATTTCAAAATTGTTTCAGATGAAATGAAGAATTAATCTAAAATAGAGAATTTCAAAATTGTTTCAGATGAAATGAAGTAAGACCTTTTTTGCCACAACTGTAAACATTGCATGCAAGAAATTTTGCAAAGCTGTCCATTGGTAAGCCCCATGCATGCATATTCAGCCTTCAATACCGCAGATATACATGGCATATATTCTTTAATTATACCTTGCCAACTGACGTAAAAAATCAACTTACAATCAGTAGTATTGTTTGACCAGTTGGCTGTTCATTGATGGACGGAAACATCTGTGTAGCATATTCTGGTTGGTGTATATTTTCCTCGTATGGTGGCGGCAGATTCGTCCTTGGTTGCTCTACATTTATTTCGCGCCATGAATGGTTTTCTTCTACAGGGCGAGCCTGCGAATTTGTGCTTGGTGTTGCTGTGTTTTCCATCCTTTATAATATTTCTTTATAATATTTCTAAATGCAGAAGGAAAATGAATGATGCTATGCGATATTTAGCTATGAAATTAGAACGACGATTATTCATGTTGCGAGTTACGACCCTATATTGTGGTTGATAATTCATATTCCTGCAGCGAATAAAACACTCTCAGACAGTACATGTAGAGTCGCATTGAACTTTGTGCTGGAAAGCGTATATGTATGTACATAACCTATATATACAAAGACTGTCAATTCGGTCAGTCATGGCGGACACGTTGCGAATTTTTTTGGGGGTAGGCGAATTTGGGTTGTCACCGCTTCCATTGCTGCAAAATGCATTTTTCAGTAGACCTTTTTGCCCTAAATTCCAGGTAAAATTGCTTAATTATAGCGTACAAATTATGCAATGTTTTCATGGTTTTTTAATGGTTGTAACAGCTTTGTGACACAGTCATAAATTATTCAAAATGACATAGACTCCAAACCAAGAAGAAAGTAAGTACATGAATGAAATATACGTGCTCTGGGGTTTTCTTTCAATTTCACAGTTGGGACTGGGGTTTGGCAAAAATGTGGACCCTCTGAGATATATCAGTACTTATAGAACTAATTATATATAAACAGTTTACAATGTAGCCTAAGTACATCAACAAATAATATTAACGGATCTCGTGCAAAAATACAGTATACTTATATACCTTCAAAGAGAGTGACTTTTGTTGCAAGACGATACTTTAATACCGTATACTCCGTACCAAAATGTCCAAATCAAATTGCTAATAGTATAATAGACAGTTGGTTTTCTGAAACGATTAATGAGCAACAACCGTTAACAGCACCGCTTGCTTTGTATATAACGTTATACGTTCCAGTACTACATTATATGTAAGAAGGCGCTGTTTACTGTCTTGTATATATATGTGCATGCAAATGGCATCAAACATACTATTAAAGCGTCATTATAAAACAACTAAGGCCGTCCGCTTAATCATTGGCTGGTAGCCATGAATACTCTCACTAGCCTGTTCATTGCCATAGTTACTGTATAATATTTATGTATTGTAGCCTATATATAGTGCATATATACTATATTATAATAAGCATCAAATTCATTTTAGGATTTTTTTATACCAGAAACAAAAATATAGGCACGAATGCGTACAATAGTAAGGTTTCTCTACAAGAATTATTTATATACTGTAAACAAGGCATTTCACCGATTTTCGCGCATAGCGTAGCGATTTGAAGTTTGAAAATTCTAGATCGATATGAAGTGGCAAAAGGTTTCTTTGTTAACTTTAAGTTAGCACGGCGCCCACGTTGTGCGGAAATGAATTAAAATAACTCATAAGTCGTGCGTGGTTGAACCAGGCCTCAGCGCTTAATTGCGCTCAAGTGGATTCCGGAATATCGCTTTCACAGTTGATTTCCTGCACGATTTATGAGTCTTTAGTCATCAGACCTCTCCTGCAGAGTTTGTACACTGAAAACAGTGTTCCAGGAAAAACGGAAATTGATATCCTCTGAAGCCCAAAATAGGCAAAAAATTATCCTTGGACAAGTTTTATTTCCTCTTATTTACGATTAAGATATCGCAAGTACTCCCTCTCAAGTTTCTTTGTTTTAAAGCGAAGCTTTTTATTTTGTTCAAAATGACTGAAAAAATCGCCGTTAACATGTATGATACAACGCCTGCTAAGCTATGATACTGGATCAATGTATGTTTCTTCGTTTAACATTCCATATGATCAGTACAGCAACAGAGAAAGCTCTTCTTGATATCTCTTGAGATTAAAGATGCTGTTCCGTTTAGCGTGTTCAGCACAAAAGCATGAATTAAGATTTCACAATGTTGGTGCGACAAAAACGTTTTTATTGATGCTATTTTTATCAGGTGCATGGTAGAAAGCTTTCTATCGCTTGAATAAATCGGTGGCGCTATCGTCGGTGCAGTCGCCGTTCACCTCTGAGATATCATGGGTTCGATTCTAGCTGCGAACTCATTACATTAGAGATCTTACGATTTTAGGACGTCAACGCGACGGCAACGGCTACCAATACAATTGATCATTGAAAAGAATTGAGTAATTACAATATATGAATATTTTAGATTTTCACGTCTTGATACAACGTATTGATATCACAGATTTTCACGTCTTGATACAACGGCTGCATTCCAAGCCGCAACAAGTGCAACGTCAAACTGGGTTTAGCAGAACTCTTCCCAACCATAAAACCCATGTCTTCAATTTCTAAAACTGTATTAAATTCATACGATTGGTAATATACCACGAACTATCTTTACTACCACTTATTTGAAGGAGTTTGTTTTGGTCTCGTATAAGGTCTCTATATATTTATGTGAACAGAACGCCCTGTCGAAAGCCCTGGGTTTTCTCCGATTTCCACCAACAGCGAATGTTGACAGGGTGGATTTCACTAACTGATTCTTCCACATAGCTGTGCTCCTTGGCACAGAATAAAGACATACAGAAGTGTAACTTCCATTACAAAACCGTAAGGCGCTTTTTTACCGAAATAGCTGGCGGCCATGTTCTTAGCAATTGCCCTAAAGAGAGGCATTCACCACCCTGGAATATTAAATTTTCAATATGTTTTCAGGGGGGTGACTGCGTCTCTTTAGGGCACTTGCTAAGAACATGGCGGACTGAAAAAATCCCTTACGCACTTTTAATAAGAAGATACACTTCTGTATGTCTATTCTGTGCTCCTTGGTCAGATGCGAGTCATAAGGTGGCTGCCAGAGGCGACTCAGAAAACCATCGACTCGGTAGTGCCATCGACTCGAACAGTTTGAGTTGCGTCCTTCGCAATTCAGCTTAGCTGTGCAAGTAAGGATGTAATATTAGCACATTTACTTACTTAATCCTCATACTAATCCTCATCCTGTAATCCTTACCCTACCCGGACTGATTTCGTCTCTGTTCAAATTACCCGCCATTATGAAAGTTTTGTACTCTGATTTCAAAAATTGGTATCGAAATTATAGCTTAACCAACCCAATTTAATACGAATACGAAACAGTAATGGTATTCGCCTCACACCAAAGCATAAACTCTTTTCCTAATCTTTAGAGCCTGAAACTAGATTGAAACGACTTTTAATTAAACCTCTCTGCAATATATAGTCATTTAGTGTCGTGATCAATGAAGCCTGACAACCAAAACAATGACCACCTGTATGTCTGAACATTCAAGAGTTGTTCAACCTGTCTCATGGCTTATAATATATGTAACGTGTACAACTACATGAATGAAGATGTATCTGGTATCAGCAATATAAAATCGAAATAAATTTGAAGAGATTTAGTCGTCCGCTATTCTGAAATTATGAAAACACCTTTTGGCAGAGAATGATGATTTGCTGTCAGGAGCGCAATTATGGCTATGGGCAGCCCAGTCGTAACTAACAACTGAAGATATTTGCCCGGGCCTGCACGATAATACCAGAATGTAACTGGGGGAACAACTCTTAAAAACTTTTCGTTATCTTGTTGACATGAGCTTGGCTACGATGCGTTTTTGTTATCAGTTGATAATAATCTTCTCGTTTTGTCTGACAGTGACCGTTTATATATCTCTGAGTTACACAAAGATTGAGGGTTTTTTTAAAAGCGCATCTAGTTATCTGCCATTATCATTGGCTTCACAACGCGAGGCAAAGTTGGAGTCAAAGTTCAATAAAGTTCCGGCCAAGTTGAGTGACCTGCAGTTTTATTCTTCGTATCATGTCAAAGGATTTCTACGACTGATGACGAGTGACTTGCACGAACCAATAGAAGTGTGGTATAGCAAGGAACATAACCAAAGTAGGATCGACTATTACGGAGGTAACTTGAGCAACTTGTCTGTGTTTTAAATTAAGACCTGGTCAAACGAGAGTGGCAGTTGACGAGAGTTGGCAGTCACGAATTGTTTACGGGGGACATTTCAAGCTTTAGATTGACAAAATCTAGATTGACAAAATAAAGGTTCGAAAGAAGAAGAGATATGTGTACAGTACATATTCGTAAATCTAACCAGGTGTCTGGCCGGTTGTATATCCTCTGCACTTAGCATAGTTTGGTTTATTCAATCAGGATGACAGGAATTAAATTTGTTTTAGATTATGCTTTACAACCACATTCAAGGCGAACATATACGCTCATATTTTACACCTAGGGGCAGTTCATATGAGCCAGGCCTGCCGTAGCAACCGTAACTAACTAGTGTCGGAATATCTGAATACCGAAATACAGGGTTCGTACAAAACTTGAAAGTCCTTGAATGTCCTTGAATTTGAAAACAAAAATTCAAGGCCTTGAATTTGTAAAGAAGTACTTGAATGTCCTTGAATTCTTCTTGCTTTAGTTTTTGGATATTTTCTGAAATTGTTTGACATTCAAGACGGACATTTTGTTGAACTGATTTTGCATGTTCATATCTGACCTCATTATAAAGTTACGTTTTGAACAATTCAACGTCATATTTTGCTGATTTCTAACGCCTTCAGTATTTAGTCCTTGAATTTGCTGATACATGGCCTTGAATGTCCTTGAAAAGTCCTTGAATTTGACTCTTCCTGACATGTACGAACCCTGGAAATATTGAAAAGGATTTCCATTAATTCTCATTGTGTTAACGCACGATTGTGCCTATAGTGAAACCCATGGACATATTATAGCAAATAGAGTGATGCCAGTAGATTGTACATGTGCGTACTCAATATGGAGATTTTTGGGCAACTTCACGATGTAACTAATAGTTGGTGGACGCAGCTATATGAGGCTCTCTTGTAGGAATCAAACCTGCAGCCCTTATGAGATTCCGGTGCAGGCTGTGCAGTGTTCTAACCAGCTGAGTTACATGGTCCAGTTGCTGACCATTAACCACAACTTACAACTACTCGTGTTTATATAATGGAGTGATAGAAGGCTAGACTTGCTACAAGTGCACAAGTCCTTTGTCTGAACTTCGTGAAATATTGTTCATCGTGGTTACATGTTTCACCTCGGCTATCCCTCCAGGTGATCTCGTGTTCGTATTTTAGCCAATCAGCGCTCAGAAAGGGTTGTCCGAATAGAGATCCATTTTGATGTATTCAGTCAATTATATCTTTCGTTATTCTTCATGAAACTAGTTGAAATTTTGTAATTATGTTTGGTTATGAGAACTATAGCTCTGACAAAAATATGAAATCGAAAGAAAGTGTATTACAGGAGATATTCAGTTGTTTTAATCATAAAATGGATTTCTATTTGACAACTAGTGCCAGTACTTTTCTGCGTATCAAGATCACCTGGCTGTTGGACGGTTACTTAATTGTACGAAAATACAATGAGCTGAATCACCGCGACCGTGCACAAATTAACATAAACTCCGACAAAAACTGAACATAATACAATGACTTCTGTCGAGTTTCCAGACCATCATAATTATCTTGAATTATAATATAGGGTGTATCAAAAAAAAGGTAATCGAACTTCAGCGCGCTATTATACGTGAATTACTCTGCGTATGAACAATTGGTTTTCATATTCGGAAAGATCAGGCTTTTAGCTATTGAATGACATGCTTTTTATACCAAGTGGAGAAAAAATAAGCATGTACGAGGCCGATTAAAAATGTTAGTCAAAATCGCATATTTTCACCTCTGTGCCTAATTAAAACAATGCATAACAAAAGAAAAAAGCAATTAATCACGAACGTGTCGTAGCTTAGATAAGATTATGAATATATGTGCAGTTTAATGAAGTGAAATTCATCAACTTAAGTCCTAAAGGGAATTCATTTTCAATGGTTTTAGACCTCTTTCAATGGTTTTAGATCTCAACGGTGAAAATATGCGATTCTGACTAAGATTTTTTATCGGATTCGTATTTGCTCATTTTTTATCCATTTAGCATGAAGAAGATGTCATTTAACAGCTAATAGTATGATCTTTCCGAATGTGAAAAAATCTCGTTCATACACAGAGTAATTCAGATACAATAGCGCGCTGAAGTTCGATTACCTTTTTTTTTATACGCCCTGTATACTATGATATAATCATGGGCGAGCTTGAGTTCCCCGGCGAGCAAACGAGCGCGCTAAAATCCGCACTTTAATCTGAGCAATTTGAGCTCAACCGCGCAGCATAATACGTGTCGACTTTTTAGGAAGTCTAATAGAATACATGAATTAAATATCGAACATTTTGGGTATTTCGTTCGATACAACTAATTGACCATTTGCATTATAGACTAAATTTTGATCTAGACAAACATTTCATCACAGCTTGAAAGAGCATCACAAAATTAGTAATATTCCAAAGTTTCGTTGCGAAATGTTGTAAAATGCGGATAATATAGCCTTGCGAAGTTTCTTGCAATTTTCAGTCATTTTAGATTACAAACGGGACAGCCCAATACCCTTTGCCCTTTGGGCATGTGATGAAATTTTTGTCTAGATCAAAATTTAGTCTATTACGCAAGTGGTCAATTAACTATATATAGATGGTTTTTTTGTAGGGTACTCATGCTCCGGACTCAAATTGTCCTGTTTAGGAAATCTAAAAATATATATAAATTTGCGTTCGAAAATTCCGTCTTCTGTTGGTATACATAGTCTATTGTGAAAGATTCACGTTGAGTGTATATGCCAACCAGATTTTCTCTTCACTCCTCAGGTGATGTGAAAACCTACCAGGACGGTCAACTCAGTTTGTTTTTAAAGATCATCCCGAAATACGACTCGATAACAAAGACTCACACGATTGGCTGTTGGAAGAAACGTAAAAGACGCGGTGGAAAAATTGGACCACAAAGTGTTTTACCGACAAGTTGGTCCTGGCCTTTCAAAGGGAAATTGGACGACTTTAAGGTATGCTCCACTTTTAGAATTTATTTAACGATTAATAAAAACTAGAGCGCAAAATTTGCAAGTAAAACTAATTGGTTATTAGGTTTAACCATTGAACTATAAGTAAACTGAAATCGGATAACTGGAGATAAACATGCCCGTACTTGCCTGAAGCCAAAATAGTTTTTTTTTAGTTTTGAGCTGAAATACTTGGTCCCAAACGTTGGGCTATATATCAAACTGAAGCTGTTGAAAATGGCTATTCGGTGTGGAAATTTCAAGACTTTAGCGAAAAGAAATATATTTTAAAAATACCAAAACAACTGCCATTCGGCCAAAAAATGGCAATTATTTTTGTAGTTTTTAAATATTGCCCTTTTAGCTAAAGTCTTGAAATTCCTACACCACATAGCGTTTTTCAATAGCTTTAGTTTCATATGCAGCACAAAGAAAAACTAAAATGCAATTGCTTCAATCCCCCCCCCCCCTGAGTTATCGTTCCAGTTTACATAGAGTTCACTGGGTTTACTGACCACTGATTTGAAAATTAGATCTGGCTATAAAGTGAGACACAATTGCGATTGAACAGTTCAGTATTTTGACATGCAAATATTTAGTGATTCCAGTTTCAGTGTTATGATTCAACTGCAATTTCACAGAATGCGTCATCGTCATGCGCAGTCGAACCTCTGAATCCATTATGCTCGACAGTTAATTTTAATTAGGTGCAAGTTGTTGATTCTTGCGATGAGTGAAAAACAGCCGTTTGTTAAAGGCCGATTGGTTGAATGTTCCTCTTTGATTGATCTATATAGATGTAAATTACTTGCACTGATTGTGGGGTCGTATTACTCATAGGTATCAATATACTTTCCGCGTATGCGTGGGCGTGCAAAAAATAAGATAAATATTTATTTTCTCTTTCTCCTTCGTCCGCGCTCCCAATTTCAGCGGTTATCTTCATGCCGGTACTTTCCAGCACAATAGCGGGTCTCTGAGTGACCATAGCGAGTCTCTAGCCTGCTCAGCAGCCCCCACCCGAAAATTTGACACGGAACGAAGTTTCGGCGGTTTCGGGCTGCGAGCAGCCTATGGCTGACTGCGCCCACTGCCAAACTTTGACCTGCCTTGACAATATCGAAATCATCGATACTTACAAAAGTATCGATACCGATACACGCAAAAAGTATCGGTAATTCGATACCACTTGAGCTTGCGATATTTTTTGTCAGTATTCCTGACCAATCGCTTAATACTTCATGAAGGCAATAGACTGAGAGCAAAAAATGTTGACATGATGCTGTTCTTAAAATTAACAAAACATGTAGCTAATTAGCAATATATTTAAGGAAAACATTGAACACGTTGATATTGTTTAGATTTAAAATCATAATTGCAAATGTTATGTTCGATTATTTGGCAGGTACTCCGGTTAGAGTATTCTTTGACTTGTTAACGTTAATGTTCTTGTTTTAAAAGTTATTTTAATAAATGGAAAAAAATTGAGTATCGGTATCGATTTTGGTATCGGTATCGACCAAAATTCATGCTATCGGACTGGTATCGTATCGAAACCAAAAAAGCTGGTATCGCCCATCACTAGTAGTAAATGGGGCCGTAAAGCCCACAAAAAATTGTTATTGCATGTTCTTTTAAAACTGCTTTTTGTACGGCATTGCCGATTCGACGGGTTAAGTTTAGATTTTGTATATGTACATGGAAATCTGTTAATGGTAAGCAGTACTAACACATTACATTACTCTAATATTATATACATTGATACGATATGCTGTTACTGTATTAGTAGTAAAGGTCATCCGTAATTACAAACAATGAGCTCAATCACCGTGCACAAATTAACATAAACTCAGACGAAAACCGATAACACAATGACTTCTGTCTATTTTCAAGACCATTATATCTTGATATTATCATGTTTTGGAAGTAATACTATGAATCTTTTTAAATTGTATTTTTTTTAGCACATTGGTGATGAAAAAATAGACGGCAAGCTCTGCATGAAATGGCGATTTGAACACAACATGATGGGGAGAAATAATGTTTACACGTTCTGGCTGGAAGAACGACACCCTCCTGTACCAGTTCGCTATGAAATGGTCGGATATGATACTCTGTTAACGTCTTACTACGATAAATATGTCATTGACTACACCAGCTTCGAGAAATGGGAGTATGAAAAGGCAATATTTGATATACCAGAAAGTAAGGATGCAATATTTCAGTATTTTCAACCATTCGTGATTACTGATTCAAAATTTAAAATGGAGAGAAACTCCTATTGAATGTGAAGAGCCATTTTTGTGGCCGATAATTTATAATCAATAAACTTTAAGCTACGGATACACGGGCAATATTAGAGGAGAAGTTCAGATTTGACTGTTGGAGGTGGTAGGAGCAGTAGTAGAGGTCAAATGTGAACCTCCGAAATTTCCGACATTTCACGAAAAGCATTAAAGAAATGCTCCCACGTCATAGTGCCATTCATTACCACAAATAATGCAGGTGTAGCCATTATGGGCGACAACAATACAATATTCTTCTCTACTGTTGCGTTACCATCGCTGCAAAAATATTAGTCGTGTATCCGTGTATTAATCTTAAAGTTCAAAAGTTTAAATACTGTCAGTGACAATTAACATTAGGTCTATGTGGGTCACTATACCAGTCCTATTTTCCATGAAAACGTCGGGTTGAATATATCAATTTGTTTTTTACTAGTTCCTGGAGACAGTGGTTGTTGGAACGCATCTGCAGAACTCCAAGGTGAAGAAGGAGAGTATTTCATGAATCCAATTGCTGAGTTCATAGCACCGCATGATGGAGACGACCCGGTTGAAAAAGAATTTCATCGATATAAGGAGGTCCATGGAAAGAAATATGACGATAAGGAACATCTGGAAAGAAGACATATCTTTAGGCATAATGCAAGGTGAGGGAAAATTCCATTAAGCACATCTGGAAAAGGTTTTTAATGTTTCTCGGATCCTGAATTTGCCTTTTCAAGTTTTCCTTTTAAAAATGTGTGCAAAACAATGGAAAATTCGACGGTACATTACACCAAATTTGAACGTTGAACAACACCTCACAATCTCAAATGACAGATAAGGAAGTATGATATAATGATGCCTTAAGATTCTCCCGTAAAGTATGTGTGAAAAATTAAAATGTCCCTTTAAAGGCAAAAGACAAATGTTCCCCCAGTATTCTAAGATCCCACTTTTTCCAGATTGGCCGGTTCGTTATTGGATATGATACAAATATTTTACGTGCGGATAGGGCGATCTCATGCGTTTAATCTACCCCATTAACCAATCAGTTTAATTTACTCCGTTAACCAATCAGACGAGTTTAACCCACCCTGTTAACCAATCAGTTTAAAATACTCCATTAGCCAATCAGATGCGTTTAGCCAATCAGATGCGTTTAAGCTACCCCATTAACCAATCAGTTTAATCTACTCCGTTAGGGGTCATGTTACCACAAATAACGTCGAATCGACATTATATCTTCACCCACTCCAGATAACGTCGATCGATATTCAGCCGTATTTTGACTTTCGTATTTATCATACTAGAAAATACATGCATGCAGAAACCCTCGCCTTGCTGACAAAACCATTGTATTTTCCGAACATGAAGTTCTAAAGTAGTTGTCATGGTAACACGATAATTTTTTAAGAATATTCTTACAAATGAAAAATCGCCTAAAAATATCACTTTTAATTACAAAATTATTAATTTCCCAACATAAATATATGTTAGGTATGTTTTTATACGTAATATAAGCCTCAATTTAAGGTAAAATTCAACCACAAACACTTCGCAAAACGTTTTAAAGTCACTAGTGTTCATTATAAAACTAAACTGCCTTTTAAAATGGCTTTATCGATAAACTTTGAGTTAGCAATAAAATGATTTCAAATTCTGGCTTGCAAATAACTCAGTGCTTTCTTTTTTATTTAGAAATTCAATATCATAAAAAAGGGAATCAATATTAAAGATACACTAAAATTATATGCTGTTTGTTTAGTTGTTTCATATACGCAAAGGCCGTCGGGTTTTAAAGCCATTATAAAATCAATATTTAAAACAAACTTACCTTCGTTAACGTCGGCTCCCTTCTTTTAGACGATTCTTTCGCAGTTTCATTTTGAGAGAGCTTTTGAAATTTACAAAATCTTGCAAAAATGCGAGTAAAAATGAAATATATTTGCAAGAAATTTATCAATCATCAAATCAAGAAATGTTTGCTATTTCGCTGTCGTGATACATTCGTGCCAGTCGTTATAATGCAAAATTTAAATTGGACCAATCAGTGTCCGCTATTCATGACAGTCCGCCATATTTTTGAGATCAGTGAGGATGACCACCCATCGTTGGTCACCCACGCCCGCGATATTTGATGAACTTTAGACTCCGCTAATGCTTTCGTTTCCCCGGGTGTAAATAGCCGGGGGGAATTAGTACCCTCGCACGGCGCTTCGCGCCGTCGGCTCGGGGACAAAATCTGTACTGTCATAGTTATATTTTGGACATTAATTGTCAAATTGCCACGAGATAACGTCGATAAGTTCACATAAAAACACCCCCACTCATAACGTCGATTCGACGCTATTTGTGGCAACATGAATATGGATATAGCTCCTAAACCAATCAGATGCGTTTAATCTACCCCATATTAACCAGTCAGATGGGAGGTTGCTGCAGTGGAAGTCAAATCTAACCACTCTGGCACTATGAGCTTTATCAGAGTTATTGCATGCCAAACCTAACGGGTGAATCCAATTCTTCAATTTAGGTTCATCAATTCGATAAATAGGAAAAACCTTACCTTTAAGCTGAAGCCTAACTCATTCACCGACATGACAGAGGGAGAGTACAACCTGCACAAGGGAAGTCTGCCTGATTATCCAGTGGAATTAAGAAAAAAGAAGAGGAGACCTATGCTTTATATCACTGAAAAATACAAGCCTCGTAGGAAGTCGCCTACGATTCCTGACCAGCTGGACTGGAGGGAATATGGTACGAAATACAATAAAGAGTGTACATATTACACATATTTAGACCTGACCAGCAGCGCCTTCGAAAAATGAAACTATGGGCCCTCTGGTAGGAATCGAATCTACGGGCCTGCGACTCCAGTGCCTCGCTCTGAACTACAGAGTCCAGTTGTCGAGCTTTAACAGCAAGTTCATGTATACCGCCAGACGGCCTATAGTTGGATTTTTCGCATAAATAGAACTTCGACGTTTCGAGCGAAGACTCTTCGTCTGGAGCATATGGCTCATCGTACTCATTCCATAATAAAGTCGTACTCCATTCCTTAATAAAGATATTACCAATATTTACACAATAGCTTCCCCCCTTCCCCCCAAAAATAGAAACGACAACATGGGCCACAGCCTACACCCTTGCTATCAAGTTACCAAAAGTTAAAAAGTCAAGGCGTGACATTCTTCTCAGGCCGCCAAACAACATTCTAGAACTCCGATCTTGTCATCAGGTCGCCGCATTTTCCCGGAATCTCATCTTCTGACTTCTTCCTTGTTCTCGGCGGTCTCTTTGTGCGAATCCCGAAAGCCTGTTTTTGGAATCCCGAAAGCCTGTTTTTGGTACTTAGAACGAGTTGGCCGATGTGATCTTTAATATATTTATCGCCACAGGTGCCGTGTCCAAACCCCGTGGTCAGGGTACATGTGGTGGCTGTTGGGCTTTTGCCGCTATCGGAGCCATTGAAAGCGCCAACTTCATAAAGGTCAGTCTCTGTGGAAATTAAAACACAGACGTGCATAGATTTCTTCAATTTTTTCACGCTTCTCAAGTAATGTTGAGCCAGTAATATCGATCATAGAAATATCCAGCATGGATCTCTTTCGAGTTTCGATAGTGAAATTACTTGATAGCAATATTTATAGTGAAAAACTTGCCCTGTCATATTTTGAATACCCCTCAAAAACGCGTGGAAATGAGAGAAAAATCTCCTTGAAAGATTTCTAAAATGATAAAGGTGTGGGAACCCTGAAGAAAATAGCATGTTGGATTTTAAATTGTAGAAGGGTTTTGTAGGTGGAAATTTCTAGTATGAATTTTGTACATTTATTAGATCTAACCAGGGGCGGTTACAGTTAGGTCGATAATAAACCTCAGTCGGACAAATAATAAACCAACGCTCTATAAGGCCAAAAAAAATATGTGGGTTTCCGGTTTCTTCTTATGAAAACTAGGGTAGGTCGGTTTTAACTTTTTTTTAAAACTTTTTTTGTAAATTCCTAACAACCGGACGCCATTTTGTTTAGTCAGTGCTTCCACATCCAAAGATAAGTTTCACTAATATTGCCTCAAATTTCAATTTCCCACAAACGTTTTCCTCTAAGTGGAAACACACAAGCATGATCCAATAAAATAGTTTAGGGTCGGGATTTCGAGGTCCAAAAGCTAGGTAGGGTCGGGAAACCGGAAACCCACATATTTTTTTGGCCTAACCAACTGAGCTACAGAGGCCAGTTGTCGAGCTCTAGCCGCAAAGATACCCAGAATCCTGATATTTACCCATACACCTTACACTGGTATCACCTTAGAATATATACATGAACTTGTGGTTAGAGCTCGACAACTGCATGGCCTCTGTATAGCTCAGTTGGTTGCATAAACTTTATTTTGACACGGTAGAATCATCAGTAAAAATTTACATAATATAGATGTATATAAAGTGTAGAAAAAGGAGGAAGAGGAAAAAATACAAATGCTATTTACAAAAGACAGAACAGTACTGATTTACATGATTGCCGTGTATGAATCTAAGCTAACCAACATTCTAGACCTCGTTTAAAAGCACTAAGAGATTGCGCCGAACGAAGTTCAGTTGGCAAACTATTCCATAAAACAGCTCCATCGTATAGCTGAGTGAGCGCTTTAGATAATCTGTATGTGGCTTAGGGACAAATAATGTATTTTCATTGTTTCTCAATCTGTAAGGACAAGATCGCGAAGTAAATGTGTCTTGTAGATATTCCGGTACCCTCTTATTTATAGTTTTATACATAAGAATTGCTTTAAGCTTTTTGCGATTAATAGATAAATATCGAGTGTAGATGCCAAAAACACCTGACGTTGGATTCCAAACCTTATCGAAGAGGTGAAAAGGCATTCACCATCTAACTCTTCACAATTTTGCATCATATATAGACAGGAAAACTTGTTCAACTTTCTGAACAACAAATGGTCGACTGCACGTGGAAAGTGAAAGGAGTTTGGAAAGGCAATGGTAACCATGGTTGTCATGGAGGTATGGCGTGGAAAGCGTTATTCTGGGCTAAGACTAATACCATAGCAACGAGCGAAAGCTACGGACCATACAGAGGCCAGGTACGTTAGTTTGTTGAGCGTTATTCTGATAGACGGTTTGACCTGATTATTCACTCTTTATTCACTATTCGTCATTTTACATCTTTGGCATAAATGCGCTTTGTTCGTTCAAATAGTCGCATGAATTACAAACAAATTTCATGAATCCTAGCTAAGGGGATTTTGAGAGTGTTTCCAAATTTCAAGGGTGTGTATACCTGTCAATTACCCGGAATCCATAAGAACCGTTCCAGAATAAACTATATACCTGTGGTTGTTCTATCTTTTACAGCCAAGTGCAAGGCGAGCGCTCATATTTCACATTGACATTACAATGGGTTATTTTAGGAACTCTTGGAGTATTGGACCTATTATTTTTAACCTATATGTCATCGAAACAAACATATAAACATCATGGGCCATTTTAATATACTGCGTCACATATTAGTATTAAAGTGCATATGATATGAAATTTCTTATTTTCTTAAACGAAACAACTCTTTAAGCTGTAGTGTAACTTATTTTTCAGTTTCTTGTTATTATGGTTTGTTCCCGAGATATTTCAATTTGTTTGATATGTAAATGAGTGTGAATATGTCCGCTAATTTATGACGTCATGTTGGTTGCAAGCTTAACTTACACTGGTTATAAATCTATTAACTCTAAAAACTGTAGATACCTGTTCGCGTTTTTCTACAGTGTTTCATCACATTTACCAGTGAGTGAAGCTTGAAATTATCATCTTGGATAATAGCAGTGATATTCAACCATTTTGACGAGCTTGCAACCAACATGACGTCATAAATTAGAGGACATATTCACACTCATTTACATATCAAACAAATTGAAATATCTCTGGAACAAACCATAAAAACAAGAAACTGAAAAATAAGTTACACTACAGCTTAAAGAGTTCTTTCATTTAAGAAAATAAGAAATTTCATGTCATATGCACTTTAAAGGTTTTAGAGTTCTGTCTTACATTTAGTGTATTTTTAAAGTTTGAAAACGTTTTTCAATTTTGATGCCACCACACTAGTATATATACTTCGTATAAAAACCATGAAAATAAGTTTTGAAAATGGTATTTTAATTTTTTTTTGAACATTTTAGTTTAAATATTTTATTTGATAAAAATTTGATTTACGTTATTGAAGATCAGGGCTACGGTAAATAAATATCAACTGTCCATATCGGTATGCAAATATATACAAAGAGCTTATAAATATAATCATTAATGAAAATAAATTTAATAAATATAAATGTAAACGATAACCATTGCAGGAAGGATATTGTAAAACAGAGAACATAACGGCAGGGGCAAAGATTTATGGGTTTAGACGAGTGAAGAAGCATAGTGCCAAAAGCTTGAGACGGGCCATAGCCTATCATGGACCAGCGGCTGTTGCCATTAATTCGCATCTGATGACACTGAAGTTTTATAGTCATGGGGTATTGGACGATGAACAATGTGGTAAGTGGGTATGTGTATAACGCAAATTTCACCCCCCCCCCCCCCCCCCGCCCATTTTGTAGAATTGCATAAATCGCAAAGAACACTAATTCTGAGTATGGGTAAGTTTGACTAACTTTGACAATATGCACTATATGCAGTACTAATAAACTAAAGTGTGAAAATATGCATATTTATTTTTCCTAATTTGAATGCCGCATGATATCGTCATAACAGAGAACAAAAATGTCGAAATAACTTGAAGAGGTAATGACTGGATCAATTCTCTGTAAATATATAACCAATTCCCAATTTTCTAACTAACTGAGTGCACGAATAAAACAATTCTGGGGGGGGGAGTTTTTATCTGGAAAGGATATCCTATATACCACCCTTATCACCAGCTAGACCCCAAATCACGACCAAGGCTCGATAAGAACCTCCCCCTCACCCAAGATCTGGCTGATCTATATACCCAAGCTATGCTGCCCAAGGCGTAAGACAAACATGCATGTAGATTTATTTTTATGGAGTTAACCACGTAGCCATGCAACCTTTAAATGCAGTTTATAGTCTATATACGCCAGCGCAGCCATTAATTTTAGCTTGGCTTGATAACTACCTCTATATAATTTTTGGAGTTTGTTCTTCAGTAACTCTAGGTTTAAATAACGAGCTGCACACGATTGTTAGCCAGTAACCCTGGGTTTAGAAAAGTAACTCACGTGTCTAAGGTGCCTTCACATAATTTTTGCAGTTGCGCTGTAATTCCTGAATTCTTAATTCGACTACGTTTTGAAGCTTTGAATTTGGAGTTGTCCTCTTCATGCTATGAAGGTAGCGTCGCTCCAAGGCTCCCGAACTTCTCCAACCATGAGGCACTCAAATTAAAAATTCTCTCTTTGCCTTTTGACAAGCTAACTCGACAGATCATGCTGTGTTGGTAGTCGGTTACGGCAAGGAAAATGGAGTGAATTACTGGCTAGTGAAAAATTCTTGGTCAACATTGTGGGGAGATGGAGGCTACATGAAGATCAAGGAAGATAAATGTGGTATATTGAAGAAACCCGTGATTGTACTGAATAAACATATTAAATCATATCCATGGCATAAGAAGTCCAAGTGGAAAAAAGGATTTAACAAACGGCATAAAAAGTCGAAGAGGAAACGTAAATACAAAAAGAAAAGTAAAAAAGGATGTCATAAAAAGCACAAACGGAAACATGTACGGAAGCATAGGCACCATTAGCTAAAGTTAGGTAGGGGCCGGGAAAAAACCTGAAACAGATCCCAACATTTGTAATTGCAACACGATGGAGGAAAGTTTTCAATTTTTTCATCGAAATGTTCCTTTGGGAAACACTTGTCATAACAATAGTACCATGCAGTCACGATCTAGGCTGCGGGATTTGACCATGTATTATGCGTACCGCCCTCTCTCATGTATTAAGACTAAAATTACAACTAAAAATAAATGTAAACAAACAAACAGCTCAATCGTATCAAACACACATTTTACTGTGGCCAAAAACAATGTTTTTCAACAAGGACATCTCCTATGGCGTTGCAGAATTAACCGGTGGAGTTTCGAATATTTAGAAGCTTTTAATTTGCAAACCATTGTTATTGCGCGATTCATATATCCATTAAGATATATTACTATTAACCGTGATTACACTAACGCATATTTCCTCTTGGTTGACAGCGGTAACAATAATACAACCAATCACCAATTTAACCATAAATACACATATATACCGGCAAATATTTACTCTATTGTTGCGCACATGTTGTTATTCCCTGCTGGCAGAGGTCTCTATTTGTGCTGGGAAGCGAAGGAGAAGAGACCTCTGCCTAGACCTGACACGTTTTCTGTCGCGCATGTGCAAAAATTGCCATGACAACGAGTGCATGATGTTCACCACGTGATATCAAACCAGTTTTTGCGGGATCAACTTGGTAATTCAAAGACTTACCGTAGTTTGAAGGCAAGCAAATGTATCTCGGCCCGATAAAACAGAAAAGATTGATTTCTTTTGTTCTTCTGTCACTGCTTTCACAGTTTCATCTTTGAAAATATCAATTACATAACTTAGAGCACTTTCAAACAACATGCATGAAAAACCTCGAAATGACCTCGCTGTTTAAGCCGCCATTTTGACACTACGGGCTCAATGTCATTACAGCGTAATTCAGTTCTGAGCATAGCATTATTGCACACTATTTGTTTCTCTAAACCGGTTTCAGAACGTGTTTTACAAACTGGTTTGACTCGTCCACGATCATGGACTGAGGAAGTGTCAGATCTATAGGCAGAGGTCTCTTCTCCTTCGCTTTCCAGCACAAATAGAGACCTCTGCCAGCAGGGAAATGTTGTTATAAAGGCTAATATAATTGTTTTTGCAAACATATAAAACTAATATTTGAATGAAAACGCAAAAACTCAGATTCCGATGTATGGAGGACACCAGTCTAAAATGTATATACAATCATGCAATCATTGTCATTGGTTGCACTGACTTAGACTGAAAACGTTTGCCGTGACAAGCACTGGAAAAAATGCCGCTTAGACGGCGTAGATTAGTGCGCAGATGTCATTGATCGAATATTCCTTTTTTGGCGTTATGCATAAATATCACGTTTCCATAGTGACAGGTATACAAGTGTACTGTTAATTTCAAACGCTTTCTGAGCTGGCAGAATAATTTTGGGCGTCTAGAATTTCGGTCGAAAAGCGACAAGCAAACAACGTCATTAAGGTAAGTAGTTATCACAAAACTATATATCATAACTGAGCCCAGTTTAAATAGCCTGTATAAGATTAAGACTGTTTGTTTGTTTGTTAAACTTTATTGAGTACAAATTAATTCAACAAATATTCATCTAACATGCAATTAAAGAGCTGTACTCAAACGGACAAGGCACAAACTGGACGTAAAGTCCATTGCATGGTGCCCCTCCTCTTCCTAACATAAACCCTTTTAATTCACAGTATACTGTATACAGGGTGTCCCAAAAAACCCAAAACCACTGAAACAACGCACTGCCAGAATCCGAACGCCTCAGCACCAACTGAACGCAAAGATGCGTAAATATGATCGACATGATGCATATAAGACTGCTTATGAAGAGGAGATTTTGTATTGTATATGAGTATAATGACACTTGCTTGCTTACTTACGGCTGGGTCTTGAACATATATATATATATATATATATATATATATATATATATATATATATATATATATATATATATATATATATATATATATATATATATATATATATATATATATATATATATATATATATATACACTATTGGCAAAGCATCTCATAAATAATATAGGCTTTATATAGCGCCATTGTTGCAGTTATCAGTATATATACTAGAAGATTACCAGGTTGCATTATAACGGCGAAGCTCACAAAGGATAATTTCAACAACACAAGTATATAGGTTATAAACCAATTTTAAGAACCCGGGATATAAGTCATATATTGACCACAGGGGACGCAAAAACCGACTTATTCTCAAGTTGAGGAGATTTTCGAACAAGATTTCATCAATTTCAAATACTTTCCATCAAGATATTTCGAATTTTGTCGCCAAGTTTAATCTAATTATTTATTCACATACCTGTAACACCACGCCGTACATCAAAGAAAACGGAATCTATATACTGTATATCTAACGAATCTATATATACTGTATATCTAATTATAAAATCTGGAAAGTCATATGCATGTATCTGCTATACAAATCATTTTTCTTACAAGACGCATTGGAATCATCAAAGGATTTTATTATCAGCGTATCGTCAAAGGCAAAGCGAAGAACGTCCATATAGAAGCCCAAAGTTGTATGTTAATTTACTGAAAGCTCATTAAAAACTAAAACATTCACACAGTTTTTCGAACATTAGAACTATTTCCTCCATTATATCATCATTTTTACGGTAAGTGCAGTTATAGAATGTAGATACTGTTGCACATGGCATTACCCTACTCCTTATAGTATATACATGAACTTGTGGTTAGAGCTCGACTGTAGCTCAGTTGGTAATAGCATAGATATCTTATATACACTGGATAGTGCATCTAATTATTCTGTAATTCAAAAATTGAAGCCGTGATTCCAGTCTCAGGTCGTTCCCATGAAATAAGAAGATTCGTATGTTTTCTATTTCTTAAACAGGGAACGTAAACATTAAGTTAACCCTATTCCAAATACGTTTTTAAACTATTCAAATAATGAAAGTTTTGTTGTTTTTAAGCGTTTATTAGCAAGTGGGAACGACCAATATGGCCGCCACCTATTCAAATGGGGGTAACCGCTGGAATATTCTTGGCTTCAATTTTACTAAAAGAGATGCGCTATCTAGTGTATATAAGATATCTATGATATTAGTCTCTTAAAAACTAAATAATGCCTATAACGCTCTTATTCTTATTGCATGCGAAGGAGTAATATACTTATACACAACAGATATCAAACGGTTATTAGACCATGCACGTAATACTTGAGTCCAATAGGGGGCGAGGGGAAGGGGTGGGGATAACGTCACATTCTCGAAGCTAAAACTGACTTGACCTATAGGACAACGACGAGTTTACCCAGTGGAGGAGCTTGATGACGTGTAAAATCAAGAAGAATGGATTTAGACTTTTGTTTAGAGTTTCAACTGCTAAATGCATGGCATGTATGTCATTATACCATATAGCATGAATATTTCTTCTCCAATTTATTCAATCTGTATCTTATGCATGAAACGTAATGTAATTTTGAGAATGCGAGAAATGCATGGCGTCTCATATAGAACCTATATATAGAATTATCTAAATGCAAAATTTCCGATAACAAGCCTATGATTTCGAATAAAGAGGTTCTTTTTAAAATCATTTGACTGACTCGGTTTCCCATGGAGAGATATGATGTAAAGATACAGACAACTTGTCTGCTATAAACAATTACGCACACACATTAATCTATTGTTAAACGCTAAAAGCGTTCTTAATTACTTAAATTAATTGATAATTCTCCGTAATTTGGAGAAAAAAAGATATTCGCTATCACGAAAGACATTTCGTTATCTTGACACCATTGTAATAAACCACGAAAAGATCCTTAACCTTGAGGGACCTAGTTAACATCTACCCGAACACGAACACGAAAATAAATATTGAATTTTGAACTGTTACAACTATTTACTTGAAATAGAGTACTAAGGTTTCGTCTTTGACTTAACATCTTCAGAGTAAATGAATATAGTATGACAATGAGTTACAAATATGAATACATTACTATTTACAATATCAAATTACAGGGTGAGGGGGGTGTTTGTGCCACAATGGCAAGTGCCTTTTGACGTAAGTGAGAAGTTCTTTGAGAGTTACCGACTCAACCAAACAGAATGGACCTCCGAATGCAATTTAGAACTGATAGAGCCAAAGCGGAAAAGTCGAATGACGATCGAGCGCAAAAGCTGTATATAAATAAAGTGTTTATTATTTAACCACTGACTGTAACAGTGGAAGGGAAAAGACAAATCCAAGATCTAAATAAATATTCTCTATAAACGAATAAATTGAGTCTATAGTTTAGATTTCGTCCTCCTATAGTTGCAATGAACCACTAGACCTCTGTGACAACACGCACTCTACAACGATAAATAAAGTTATGCATGCGCAGTATAACTAAATAATTTAGTCACAATTTTGTTGAACTTGGTAGCTTAAACACCGCGGAAAAACGTCTGCGCATGCGTCAGCCTTACCTGTAATAGTATTGCGAACTTGATGAGAAGCTGTTCCGAACGTTTCCGAAGGCTCAAAATGGCGGTAAAAAGGAGTGACTTCATTGTGCGTCTTTACAGCCAGATTTCGAGCGCAAAAATAAACATGTCATTCTAAAAACTAGGAATAAATACAGCCAGAAGATTCAAGAAATTGTATTGTACAAGAACATGAACTAAAGGTGATTGTTGACAAATTTATCGTGTAAAACATTTTGTTTATCAACTAAGCAACGACAATTTCCGAATTTTCGTTTGAGATACATTTCTTTAAAAAAAACTGTGTCGCCAAATATAAAAAATTTTCGTGTTCACAATAATTAAACTTTAGGATTTATTCTACAATTTGAGTGGGTTAAGAAGCTTAACTTTTGGAGAGTTTTCTTAACTTTTGAGTTTGAATTTTTGTTTTGAATAATTTTGCAAATATTTTCGAAGTTGTGTCCGTTAAAATCAACAATTACATGAATTATTTACATGAATTATATTTCATTCCATACTTTAAATGCCAGGACGCTTTCAATTAATGTCTAGTCTACCCATTTACTATATTTTCTCGTTTATTTTACTAATTTTTGACCAATTAATAAGCATGTTTTTGTTTTAGAAATTGATATTCAAATTCCCCGCCATATTTTCATAATTTGATGCATGCGCAGACGTTTTTCCGCGGTGTTGGTAGCTTATTATATATGAGCTATATACAGGGACGTCACTAATTACAACTATTTACTTGAAATAGAGTGTGTTTGCATGCATGTGCCACAATGGCAAGTGACTTTCGAAGCCAGTGAGAAGTTCTTTCAGAGTTACCGATTCAACCAAACAGAGTGATGGACCTCCGAATGCAATTTAGAACATATAGAGCTATGCAGTATATCAAAGTGAAAGCAGTTTAGCACTGAAAGAGCTAGCTATCCAGTACCAACATCGATTTAATTAAGTTAGTTTAGGTTTCCTTCCATTGTAACACTAAAACATTAAGTGATGACCCTAATTGGATTTCTAGGATGACACTTGGTCGAGTTGCACAGTACCGTATATACAGCTATTTCAATTAAGGTTGCATGGTCCCCGAGCAAAGCGGAAAAGTCGAATACGAGCGCGAAAGCTGTATATAAATAAAGTATGTATTATTTAACCATGCACTGACTATAGTATAACAGTGGAAGGGAAACGACAAATCCAAGATCTAAATAAATATTCTCTATCATGTTTTGCTCGCTACTCTGGTTTAAATAAATAATTACAAAGCCCAGTCGAATTGTAATCAAGTCCCAACGTTTCGACACTCCAGTCTAGTGTCTTCATCAGGGGTGATGTAAAGTTACAATCGTGGCTTCTTAAAAGGGATCACGTCACCTGCCGATGCCGGATGCATGTATTCCTCGGGCGTTGTGAAAACCCGGAATGCCGGAATATCACGGAATATGGCGGAATATCACGGAATATGGCGGAATAACACGGAATATCACGACATTTTCCCGGAATATACCGGAACATCACAATATTTTCCTATGGTAGATGCGACTGTTTATAAACATGGACGTCTGACAACATATTTTATTACAAAAGTGATGGATCTTTCCCATTTTGACGGGAAGTAACAAACAATAACTCTATACTGGAAGTTTTATATGTTGTTTATATCACTATTACGAGTGTTCACCAAAAATTTTGAATCAATATGATTAATTCCTCCTGAGTTACAGCGTCTTGAAAAACAAAAGTGCTGACGTCAGCATTATTTTCGAACGCCTTCAGAACTGTGTTATACACAAAATTTAGTTAAAATTGATCATTTTATACCACCAAGCATTTATCCAAAAATCAAATGCTAAGGCAACTTTGAGCAAGTTGTTTATATCAGGTAAGAAGTCCCGTCTTAACCTTAACCAATAATTTTTAACTAAATTTTGTCTATAAAAGGCTCGTTCATACTTGCAATTTTTGCTGCGATTTTTATAGGTGCGATTTTTCTCTTCTGCTGGATGTGAACAAGTGGATAAGTTATGAATGTTCAGATGAGGGTACATGTACTCCCAACATTCGTAACTCATGTACTCGTTCACATGCATTAGAAGAAGGAAATCGCACGAGAAATTGCAGCAAAAATTGCAAGTGTAAACGGGCCTTAACACAGTTCTGAAGGCGTTCGAAAATAATGCTAATGTCAGCACTTTTGTTTTTCAAGACGCTGTAACTCAGGAGGAATTAATCATATTGATTCAAAATTTTTGGTGAACACTCGTAATAGTGATATAAACAACATATAAAACTTCCAGTATAGAGGTATTCTTTGTTACTTACCGTCAAAATGAGAAAGATCCATCACTTTTGTAATAAAATATGTTGTCAGACGTCCATGTTTATAAACAGTCGCATTGGCTACCATCGGAAAATATTGTGATGTTCCGGTATATTCCGGAAAAATGTCGTGATATTCCGCCATATTCCGTGATATTCCGGCATTCCGGGTTTTCACAACGCCCTGTATTCCTCTGGCAAATAGGCACCGTCATCCCTATGCAAAGCATGATTACTCATATTTATATGCCACGCTTCTAGGAAAAGTCTTTGACCATAGCGATTGTTTGTGGTAATTACCTAAAGTACTTACCACAAACAATCGCTATGGTCAAAGACTTTGCCTAGAAGCGTGGCATATAAATATGAGTAATCATGCTTTGAATAGGGATGACGGTGCCTATTTGCCAGAGGAATACATGCATCTCATTGGCAAGTGACGTCATCCCTTGGGTATTTAAGAAGCCACGATTGAAACTTTAGATCAAAGCGTTTCAAAAAAATACATTCTGTTCATGTTTTTATCTTCCTTCTTTCGGCATTATTTTATTAAAATATATTTTTAATTTTGACGAGTTAAATATTAAAAAATATATTTTCCAACCTGTCAACAATTGCTACAAATTGTATATAAAGTTTCGCCCGAAATTCCCATCTACTAAAAAGCCATCAACGTTTCAATGTATATCTTTTATTTTGTAGAACCATGGTACGTTCAAGAATTCGAATATTTTTGTCTGTTGTGTCAGTCGCTTTTATGTTTTTTTTCTATGCTGCATTTTCAAAATATTCGTCTACAATTTGTCCTGGAAATTTTCAGTTTATATCGAGGAATGAAGAGGATTTTAATGGAGAAAAAAGAAGTCACATGTATGTATCAATTTTAAGCCTAATTGGAACGTCGACAAGTTGATGGCCTTTTTTTCCTTTTTCCTGATTATAAACCTAAAACTAACTCTATCTGGGTTGATATTTCTGTCTAAATTTCCTGGTTATTTTAGTTAAACGTTTTTCTACTTTATCCTTGTTAATTTGACCAGGACCTTTTCTTGGTTAAATTGATCAGACTATGCTACACAGGTCGATAAATAACCAGAAGTTCTGGTTACGCAAGGTGCATAAACAAAGGTAATCCAACATTGGTATGTTATCGTGGATACATTACATTTATTCATTTACTTTTTTCATACCAATAGAGAGTCAGGCTTTTAGCTGTCGAATGCGCGGCTACCTTTCTTGTATCATTGCGACCAAAATCAGCCAAATACGATCCGTTTTAAGAATGCCAGCCGAAATCGCATTTTTCCGCCGTTGGGAATTGCATGTAAAGCTATATTGTCCACGCAACGCATGTGTAAGCATCAAGTTTTGATTATACAATTACTTTATGGTTTCCGTGTTTGGATGGCCTGATCCAAACACGCAGGAATGTTGCGAGAGTTAAGAAAAGCGCGCTTTTCTTAACTCGAGCAACATTCCCGCGTGTTTGGATCAGGCCATCCAAACACGGAAACCATAAAGTAATTGTTTTATAAAATAGCAACTTTCCGTGCTACAATTTCACTTTAAAAAGCTTTCACTTTAAATTTCCGTGTTTGGATAGCCTGATCCAAACACAGGTTTCGACCAATCAGAGCACGCGTTACATACATGTTATTTTATAAAAAAACTTTTACTCGCAATTTCAGATCGAAATTGAGTGGCTAAAACATTTTCTTTCTTTCTACAACACTGGAAGCTTGCAGACTGTTGAATTCTCGCAATGGTATACGTTTCCCAAAAGCATTTGGGCAAATGTTCGAAAATTAGAAGAACATTTAAATCCTTTGGGTGGAAAAATGCGAATTCAATCGATCACTTTAAATGAGGTCGCCTTTGGTAATTTTTTATCACAATCATAAAGGAAATGACAGCTAGAAGCCTGATCTTTATAAATGCGAGAAAGAAAACATATTGATGTGTAAGCTAATTATTAGCCTTTCTCACGTTGACGAATATCCGCTGTTTTTGGATGGCATCTAATTCTCGTCAACCAATGCAGACAATTAAAACAATGTGAAAAGCAATTTTTCAAAATAAATTCAAAAACTCATTAATAATTCATGAAGCAATTATCCAATCTTGAGTAAGAAATTAGTCACGTGCATACGTCTTTATACCAGCTAAAGAACACTTTAACAAAAGACCATTGTTATGCAAACTATATAAAGATTTTTATATAAAGATTTTTATATAAAGATTTTTATATAAAGATTTTTATATAAAGATTTGACTTATTATGCATACATTTTGAAGTCATTTAAAAAACTCGCGGGTCGTGTTTTATTAGGTCTAAAGCCACTCGCGCTGCGCGCTCGTGGCTTTAAACCTAATAAAACACTCCTGCTCGTTTTTTAAATAGTACATAACCATTTACAAAGCAAATTTTCCATCATTCGTCCAAAAAATTATAAAAAGTCGCTGTTATGTGGACTTATCTCGCAGACTTCGGCTGAAAGACTTTTCAAAAATGACCCAAATATGGCGGCGTGAGAAAGGAAATTAACACACGTACATCAACATGTCAAAGTTGGGTTGCCTGTTTTTATACACCCTGTATATCTACGTCCTGGTAAAATATAACCAGTTTCCGCACTATGGTAGGAATTAGTGAGATAAACTAACCAGGGAATTTAACCAGAAATATCAAGTTAACCCAAACAGTGTTATTTTTAGAGGTAAACCAAGAAATTTTAATCCGAGTGGTTTTTAGAGTGGGTGCTATTCGTTTCCTTTCATTTTTATTTTATTTCAAATTTTGCCTGTCATCCTCGTCCTTTGTTAAAAAAATTGAACATTTCATTCAATACATTTAGTGCAAAGACAACAGACGAAATTTTGACCAGGAAAATTAAAGAATTATCAAAGGACTTAACACAGATGCAAAGGAGCTTAGTTTCGTCAGCAAGCCACTACAACAAACTAGGCTTACACATTCAAAAATGTTCTGAAATGTTAAAAATATTAAACCAAAATATATCTGACGAAAACATGTTGGAAGATTCACAAAAAGAAAGTGTTACCCAGAACGCCAGAAAAGAAGTCTGCCCCGAGAAGTTTATGGGAAAATTATTAAACTACGGTTACCCTTTGTTCCGAAAAGGATTCGAACGCATCGATTGCAAAGAGTTCGTCCCAATAGAAAAACTTGTAACAATCGTAGCGATTCTACCAAAAGAGTTGGGGAAACCTGCACAAAGTTATTTTGAAATCCTACAAGGTGTAGCAAAATATTACCCTGGAATGCGGGTAATATTAGCAACGCAAAAAGATTTGGAACCGTCGGTGAAATCTGAAATATCCAAATTGAAAATTGGTTTTGAGAATCACATTATCGACAACGCAGGCCAAGGTGCTTTGCTAATAGAGCTAGTAGGCAAAGTGTCCACTCCTTATGTGTTAATAGCATCGAATATAACCCATTTTGATGATGATATTAACCTAGAGCGCATGGTTCGTGTGCTAAGTTACGAACCTCGAGTTACATTTGTTGGTGGTGCTCACCGTAATTTGAGGGGAGAGTGGGACATAGGTTGTCAACAGATGGCCTTTAAGAATATGACCGCAACGTACATGGGAGGATATTATAGGTCATTTAATGAATGTGTCGTATGCGACTATTTATCTGGATCGATTATGACAAGGAGTGAGACGTTCAAGGAACTACAATTTGACGCCAGGTAAATTTCAGTATATATACACACGCACACGCAAACGTGGATGAAAATAGGCAAATTAAAATAAACAAAATCCCCTCTCCCAGAACAATTTCGGCTGTATGTGTAGAGAGCACCATAGGCGGTTTTTATTCCGGAGAGGAGAGGGGAGGGGTTATTAACAGAGTTTAAAACTTGTTAGTTATGCTGGGTTTTTACTAGTTTTCCCCAGGGATATAGATAGCCAGATAGGATCTCTCCTGTGCTAGCCATGTGATTGCCCTAACTGGACATGTGATGAGGAGAACAATTAAGAACTGATATAGCTATTCAGTTAAGTTAAGTTAAGTTAAGTTAAGTTAAGTTAAGTTAAGTTAGTTAAATTTAATTTCTCGTTTGTATCAAACGATGGCCCTTAATACTGGACTTCAAAAGAGACATGCTAGAACAGATAGAGCTATCCAGAATGAAGATAGTTTAGTTCAGGTTTCCTCCTGCATGTAGTAAGACAGATCAATAAGAGATGCTCCTTACTGGACTTCTATCCAGTATGAAGAAAGTTAGTTTAGTATACGTTTCCCTCTGTAGTAATTTTCGACCGGAAAGAAATGACGACCCCTGCTATGCGAAAAACAGTTTAGAATTAATAGAACCATGCGTAACATCACAAACATCATATTCACCTGAGTACATAACACCAACACACACAAAAATGGAACTAGTTTAAGGTATACTTCTTGTAGTAACACTAGATCATTAATGAGTGGTCTTACTGTTATTGGATCTTTAAATAGAGCTATGTTCAGTGTAAACTGCGATTATGTTTTTTATATTATATTTTGTTTAGTTCAGTAAAACCATAAAAGTAAACCTAACCATGCAACCATTGTTCACGTCTTTTAGCATGAAGTACGGCGCCTTTCACGATTTATTTTGGCGCTTCAGGAAGGAAATGCCTGAGAACATCGCAGCATCGTGTCCGGATGTTATGTTTAACATTTACAGTCGTGAAATTGACGATGTCGAACTGGTAGCATTCGCAAACAAACATCTGATTCACAGGATTATCGACCCTGATGGCAGAGTGCGTTGGTATGGTTGCCGTAAGGGGTATTCTTACACTTCTGCCGGGTTGTGTAAAAAGGTCTCGGGAATGGGCCTGTCTCCGGCAGAAATGGAAAACCTGGCCGATGTGATCAAATTTTTCATGCGAGCATGCCATGCTTCTGGTGCGTTTTGCGAGTTCCAGTCTGGAACGATGATGGGTGAGTCTCATTTTTTCTATCGTTTATATCCAACTTTATGAGATACCATATTTTCCGAATAATGATATCTTGTGGAGTCGACTGTCTGAACTGTTGAAAACAAGACAAAATTCAAGGTGATATTTGGACTCTATTTCAAAGTCATTGACACTGGTAAAAGATTTCACTCAGCTTTAGTACAAGACTTATCTTGGATCTTGCCCTCCACCTTTTCGTGTCCATAGTTTACATCCACTTTTAGACGCTTGATATTTCGATTTTTCACACATGCCATCCATTTCTTCAGTCTTCCCCCCACTTCCCTCTGTTTCGATCCCTTTTTGGTCACTTCCATAATCTCCTTGTCCGATTCGTCACCATCTCCTCTTATGACGTGTCCATACCATCTCAGCCTTGCTTCCCCTACATTTTTTGCAATGTCTACCACCGCACTTCTTCTGATCTCTTCATTCCATAATATCTCCGACCAGCTGTCTTTCATTCTTCTTATTACATGTCCACACCATCTCAGCTTTGCTTCCCTCACCTTCTCTGCAATGTCTACCACCCCGCATCTTCATCTAATCTCTTCACTCCATAATGTCTCTGATCAGCTCTCTTTCATCTCTTCTTATTACATGTCCCCACCATCTCAGCCTTGCTTCCCTCACCTTCCCTACAATGTCTACCACCGCACATGTATTCATGAATTCCTCATCTGGCTTGGCCTCTAAGGAAATGATTTCATAAGTGATACAGCCAAACCCACCGTTGTATATCAGCGAAAATGTTGGTATTTAGTGAGAAAAATGAATGATCAAACATAAAAAACCCTTTATAGGCATGGTTTTTCTTTGTTTTTTCGACATGAATTATTGAGTATTACTTTTATATGTCACATACAAAGCAAATTTACTGTAAATTTCTCGAAAAGGAAGCAAGCATTAATTTTAATCTTTTTCTGACACTTCCCAAAGGTGCTGTAAAGTTTAACGGTGTTCTACCTTGGGACATTGACGGCGACATTGTTTTCCTCGCAAAAAATTTCTCTGTTATTGAAAAACTCAAGAGCAAAATTGAAAAAGCTGGTTACACTTTAAGCGTAGGCTATGGTGTGAAAGATGGCCGCACAGGATATTTTGCTCTCAAAACGACAAACTGGAAAGTCGACTTGTGGGGTTTTACCGAATTTGGAAGTCACATGGATGTAGCTAAAGGGGTCATACCAACGAAAGTTATGTTTTCGGGTCAGTGGGTGAACCATCCTCATAACCCTGGACTCTTTGCAAGGAATCGCTACGGAAATGGAATATACAGACATCAAGAACATTGGCGAAGACATAAACATAGTAGTGCATGGATTTTGTATAATCCCGGAAGTTTTCTAGAGTGTCCCGAACCAGGCCATTCATCGTGTCTTGATCAGTACCCAGCGGATGGTAACATGCAGTTTAGTGATTATTGTCCCTCATAATAATTCGTGATAGGCACCATTAGACAGATTGGTTTTATTAAGACAATTAACATATTGCAGTTTGTAAAAACTGTGTGGACAACAGTCCCGGATCTAATGTCTCCACGGCGTATGCGGATATGCATAAGGCTAGGGCCCTGCTGTTTCAGAGGCCGCGCATTTTGTACTTAGTTTTTCAAAAAAGGGCAAATAATAAAAGCATTTATTTAAAACACGATAATAATATCTGATGTGGTCGTGTGACTGTTACTATACATTATAAATGTAAACTACTAATAATATGTAACCTGAAGTTCAGGCTCTAAAAAATTAGGGCAAGGTTAAATAATATGTGGCTAATTTGACTGACTAAATTAATATTTCACATAATTAGATACAACAGAAATCACATCACTTTGACAGCACAGTGACACCAATATATGATGACGTAAACGGATATCTGGAACGAAATAACGGATTTCTGGAACGAAATCTACAAACTACTTACTATCTAATTCCATACAAGATGTTGTATCGGGTGACTAAATTTTTCGAATACTACATAAGTATAACCGCATTTTTTCAAATATCGTTTATCTAGCTGCAATCACTGATAAATCCTGAAATTAAGGCAAATCTTAAAACAAATTAAACATTTATAATTTGATTCATTTTGGATAATTCGATAGTCATAATTAGTAACTTATTAGTATCATATGTTGTTAAAATTGCGACAACTTGTTAGGCCTGTTTTTATATTTTCGCGTCGAATGCAATTCAAACAATAAATAATGAAGCTTAATGAGGTTATCATTACTATTGTCTTAATCTCATTCGACGCGACCAAAATTCGACGTATAAAACAGGCCTCTAGTCATTTTTAAATCTTGGCCAGGGCCTGCCTGCCCACACTCCTCAGTGTCAGCTTCGTGTTAACCGTGCAGACAAAAACAATAGAAAGGGACTGGGACTTAATCCAACAGCTCTTAAATTTCTGCTATCTTGGCTTGGTTTCATTTTTGGACTCGAGTTACTGTATATGAACCTAACAAGCCAGGCTCTGCTGGAGCGTGTTTGGGAGGGAAGCGGAAGTAGAGATACTGAAATGTCTAAACGGATTGAGTTTGACAATTCAGCAGAAAAAGGCGTAGGAATATAGTCGCATTCCCAAATGTTTTACACAAAAACCGCATCAAAACAACATTTTTTTCAACCTCGTCACAGAATAAAGATCCATACAGAAGGGCCACTTACGTCGGAAGCTTTGAAGTTTCTGTCCTCGCGCATGTCGCATTTCGCATGTTGGCCGCCATTTTCCTAGCCAGTCAATGACATTTTCTGGCCAATAAACACGTACGCTGTACTGGCTGGCTGCTCCGCCTTCTGGCCAGTAAACTGCATAGTTTTGCATAATAAAACGAGGACACGTTGCACTGTTGAGTGGCCCTTCTGTTACTGATCTTTAATCTGTGACCTCGTCCCCAGGGAACGAGGAAGACCCTGGGGACGAGATTGCATTTTTTTGTAAAACCTTTCGTTGCGGTGTTGCGCAATTGTTTTATTCTGTGCACACTGATATTGCGCATAACATGAAATGGGCCATTCCATTTAAAATCGACCCCCCCTGTTGACGAGGTTACTAATTTTAGACCCCTTGTAAATGCTCGGGCGGAGTTGCCGTAGCTAGCTTGGAAGGTTTGAAATTGGATATAGCAATCCTAGAATCACGTCTTAACTTGGCTAACCCGAGCGACGAGATACTTTCAGAACTAATTTTAATCCAAAATAAGCAACGGGATATTGAAGCCACTATCCGAAAACAAGATGAAATTATATGCAAACTTTACGAGGATAATACATTTTTTAAGTCGAAATTACCCCCC